GATTACCATTTTTTTCTGGGAAAACTAGATCCAGTTGTTTTTTTCTACCTTGAGAACACTTTCAGAAACGTAAATCTTGAAAACTTCTTTTTGGACTTTGCTCACACCTAGACTCACGGCTTCAAAACGCGTCTGTTAGAGGAGGTATCAAATCCCTTATAAGGTAACCTTAGCTCCCCTCCCCAACCGATGTGGGATCTTTTTTTTTTAAGTATATAATATATTTTATATACGGCAAATGCTACAAATAAACTTGCACACCCTCCTCAATGGAGGCTAGATTAACACAAATTGTTCCAGAATGTCGAGAGGGGGGCTATATGGGTACTGATTGTCCCAGAATGTCAAGTCCCTAGAGTGGTAAACCCTGGGCCTTCATACCATGTGAGAATATGTGGAACCTCATCAGATTACTCTTCAAAAGCGATCTTGAGGAGAGAARGGAGGTTCCAACATATACAGAGGAGAAATGGTCCAAGTTTAGCCGATGTGGGACTCTAACATRTACTTCTTGCTTGCAAGTTTATTTCAGAATAAGCATGTTGGAAGCTTCCATCTTTTATCATAATAATGTTAGTTTTTTATTCTACTTGGGTGCCAAATGCCAATGGGTATTATCAAGTAAGGAGGAGGACATCCTTGCAGAATACATAGCCGGGTAACTACATTTTATGTTGAATTCTTGTGGTCTTAGGGGGTGCACGAAGGAATCGTCCAAAGGTTCCCACAAGACATTTAAGGTATGCAGGAGGAATCAATATCTCGACATAAGCCAAGAAGCAGATCTTGTGCCACTCCCTTTAAGAAGAGAGATCTATTCTACTTCTTTATTCTTTCTTTTCTTCCCTTTCCCTATCCCTTCAAAGTCCGGTTGGGCACCTTTTCCCTTACTAGTAAGGGGCTGCTAGTTGTAGCCCGAATAGTTAGAGATGCTGCAAGCAAAGATCAACCTCCTTCTGATCTTGGACGCAGTACATTGGAATCCTGAAGCACCACCACGAACACCCTACTATCAATCAATCTGTCATACAAAGGCCTAACTCGTTATATTACTACTACACCGAAGTCTCGTACGGTGAGGCAGGCAACTCCTAGCTGAGGGTGAGGTACCAAAGGTTTGAAGAAGGATAATGAGTGAAGATCTGCCCCACTTCGTGAGGCCCAAAGGGCTGGACAGTCGAAAGCTGCTATTTTACCTTTGTTTTTTTTTAACTTAATAAGCTTAATGGACGGTTAGCTTAATTAGTGAAGTTGYATTAAGGTGTTTGATTTTAACTTGATACTAATAGATTGACTTAACATGTTAAGTTAGCTCATCCCATCTTAATGCATCAAGTTAGCATTTTTTTTCCCTAAAATTATGGTTGATAACTTGATACATATGCAGTTTGCAGGGTCTGAGGAAGCCATGCAGCCAGCAAATGCATTATTGATCACCAGCACCATCATTGTTGTTCTTTTCAGTACCATSGTAATTATCTCAAACCCTCTGTTAATTGTTTTTCCATCCTCCCTCCATCTGAATCATCAATTTAATCATTTATCCATTTACAAAAAATATGGGAAGTCTGTGGAAATTAGAATTGGAGCAAAAATATGTTGAAATTATAAGCTTGAGGGGCGGAGCCAGAGTTTATATTCAATGGTCTAGAGGGTTGAGGGTGTGCCAGATTTAGATTAGATTGCATGAGGGGGAGTGAGGGGACACCATCTCCTCCCTTTGAGGGGGACCTCACATAGGGACGGACCTACAGGGGTGCCAAAGGTGGCACGTGTCACCGTACTATTTTTTTGTCGAAGGGTAAAAAAATTTAGGTTCGTGAAAGGTGCAACCGTATTAATTTGTTGTGTGCCATCGTATGTATTTTGAAACTACAATGTGAACAAGTTTTATTTGGTAGAGTTGGTTTGCAAGGTTTTTATTCCACCCTAGACCRGGTAAGAAACACTTACATTTTGATGACCAAAAATGTTTCCCAACAAGGTGAGGGTTACCGGTAAAAAATTGGTAAAAGGCTCCTTAATCGATTAACGTTGACCCAATTTATGTTTCATGTGTAGGTGTTCGGATTGTTGACTAAGCCAATCGTAAAGTTGTTGATGCCGCAATCATCAAGCGTCGACCACTCGCAACCGTCGAGTCCGACGACATCGATCATGATGCCACTTTTAGGGCATAGCATACATGTTCTAGAAACTGAAATCAGAGATGATGATGATGATGATGATGAAGAAAATGTACCAATTACGACCAGTCTACACATCCTATTTAACAACCCTACAAACACCATTCATCATTACTGGAGAAAGTTCGATGATGCATTCATGCGTCCACTTTTTGGTGGAAGAGGATTTATTTCTTATGTTACTGGCACCCGTGATGTAACATTAATTTAACAATCATTTTATGACACATCATCATCATCCGGTTATTTTTTTTTACTGATTAATTTTAATATTTTCTTTGATAATTGGTGGAATAAGTTATGTATCTTATAATGACCGGTGAGACGGAGTTGAGACATGAAAATAGGGAATCGTGATTTTTTCTGTTTCTTGTACATAGTAGGGGGAATCTTGTTGAATTCAGTCACACGTAGAATCGGATTTTATTGTTGTTTTCGTCTTTTTTATGCTTTTGGCAATTGAAAATAGGGAATATATGGGCACGATGTCGTTAACATATTTCACATTGTAAACTATATACATATGAAATAAACTTACAAACACATTCTAGAACAAATATGTATTAATCAATACATTAAATACTATATTTAAAAGGGAAAATCTTATGAAACAAAACCTTAAGGTAGAAGTTCTTACAAAGCTCATAACTTTGGAGCTTTCAAATGAATAAACCCATATATATGTAACTTTTACAAATTGACGGCAAACGGGTTCATATGTGAACCCCATGCGATTCACCTATGAACTTACTATATGTTCATATGTGAATTGGTTAATTAGTTCATATGTGAATCATACAGTTTCTTATGTAAATCAATTAAAATAGTTCACATATGAACTCGTTTGTCATCTATTTGTAAAAGTTACAAAACTATTTTCTTTACTTTCACATAATCGTAATTATTGACCAGTCAAATTCAATCTTAACCATATGAAGTGTTAGAAACACTTCTTTACTTCTCAAATATTTATCAYTTCTTAAAATTATATATATAAACATGACACATGTTGAAGTAGACTTCCAATCTGGATCGGAAGATRCAATAAAATCCCACACAACMACCCCATTTTTCTTATCATTCGCACGTGCTATTTTTCTATGTACGCAATATTTAATTATTCAAAGACATAAAAGATATGTAAGTTTAAGAGTTATATTTTAGAGTAAGATGTAAATTTGGTCTCTTGTGGTTTCTTGAAAATAATATATTTTTATTTTTACAGTTTCAAAATTACAAGATGGTAATCGTGGTTTTTAAAAGCGTTCAAATCCGGTCACTCACTTTAAAGGACGTTAAAGAATTCCGTTAAATAAGAGGCATTTTGTTCATTTATTGATTTCCTTTTGTTATTTACTCAATCAAAATCGATTTTATAATCTTGGTCTATATGGTTTTTGATTGRGTAAAAAACAAAAATRTCCTTTATTTAATTGAATTTTTAATGACCTTTARAGAGAAGGATCAAAAAGACATTTACAAACCACGATGATTGTTTTGTAATTTTGAAACCGGAAGAATGAAAAGTGTTATTATTTGACRAACCATATGGACGAAATTTATATTTTATTATTAATAATAGTTTTAGCAAATAAATTATCAAATCAAAAGTTAAACACTAACCTTGTTGAACTGTTTTATAAATAACCTTGAGAACAAATTTGGAATTTGATGTTAATTAATATATGATTTTTTTGGGATTAATCTAGATATCCAATCCGTTATGTGAGCGGACTAATTCCAGGGCGACCACCTACTTTTGTGGGTGGTCCGGAGTTACCATATTTGAACATCCGTGGTCACAAGAAGATTTTTATTTCTCCTTGGATTTGAACATGTGACCTGCAGACACTCTTGACCTTTGAAGCYCAAGCTCAAAGCAATCAAGCACCACCCTTGTGGTTTAATATATGATTTTTAGTGTCATGTTTAATGGTCTATAACTAATCTTTGTTTATAATCATGTAGAAATAACATTTTCAATAGTCTTTTATAATATTGGAGATTTTAAAACARGAATATTTACAGAATCCTGGCATTAGATTTCATTTTTGAATTCATCTSAATGGTATTCAAAATTTATACAATAATAAAATCACAATTTCATCCGACTTCTTTGTTTTTAATTATTTGCTTTTATYYTTATAAAGATTYAACAAATTAATGCATGTAAAAGTGATTGAAGGTGTGTGAAAGTTCATAGTACTGAGCAAAGGTGRGATGAAAATGAAAGTAGATGAAGTCTTTATGCCCGTTCTTTATGAAACATCAAATAAAGGTAGATGAAAACCTTTGTTTTTCTAAACCATAAAAAAATCAATTTATGTAAAGACTCAAAAGTATTATAGTTATACACACGGGGTTTCAAACGAGAACATCTCTATTTTACGAAAATGTGAGAACACTTTTGGGCCTTCAAATTAATTAACCCATTAATATGTCTTAAATCTTGTTGAAATCATCTAAGTTTCTTATTCCGATACCTACGTTTGTCGATAATGATGTGAACTTGTTGTTGATATATCAAAAAAAAAATTATGATGTGATTTTGATGTATAAATTGAAAAGCAGTGATGACCACGTTCATAATTATGAGCTATGTCTGTTCAGTATGTGATTTGCAGTTTTTGTTCCATTTTACCCTTACATGCTTTTGATATTCTTACAAAAATAAAGATTTATTTAATATTTTATGGTTACCTTAATTTTTTTTTTAAAACATAAGAATGGGAATTGTTTGTTGAATTAGTGTTTGATGCCAATAATTTGTGGGATCCTGAATTGTACTTCAAATTGATCCTCCATATGGACCTGATTTTTTTAATGCTCACAATAATTTTTCCAAATCAAATAAATATATTATATAATTTATCATTTATTTAAATTAAATTATTTTAAATTTAAGATATGTTTTGATGAAAATAAAATAAATCAATCTTG